ATACTAGAACTGGTGACCATAAGCGGAAATTATCAGGAAGCACTTCTTTACACAGCGTGTAGTTAGAGTATGGAATAGTCTTCCTGCTAGTGTAGTGGAAGCTAAAACCCTGGGTTCCTTTAAATCAGAGCTAGATAAGATTTTAACAACTCTGAGCTATTAGTTAAGTTCTCCCCAAATGAGCTTGATGGGCCGAATGGCTTCCTCTTGTTTGTAAATTTCTTATGTTCTTAGAGACGTATATCCGTGTGCCACTTTGTAGCCGATCAGTGTAAACACTACCCAGACACGTGCTCTTGTTTATTTCAATCACAATGGGCGTATTCACATATTTCTTTACCCAATACTGTCGGATTATCATGTTGTTATGCGAAGAGCGCGATTTGCAAATCAGAGCTGCATCGAGACCCAGACGCTTAAGTCGGTCACTCTTGTTATTTCTATTCCTATCACGAAGCTGTAAAAATATATTTAGTTTCTACATACATATATACATATTTTTTTTTATTTATTTTTTTTGAAAAGTAGACCGTCCAAGGTTTCTGAGGGTGTTTTTTAAACGTGTATATGACAAAAACTCGCAGTTACTTAAACGGTTTGGCGAAATGTCTGTCATATCCCGCCGGGGGAAGGTCGACTGGAGAGGGTTTTAACAAGTGATTATGCAAATTAAAATCTGTTTATGCGCAGGCGTACATGATCCATTCAAAACAGCGCATACGTCAATTGAAATATTCGACAAGACGCACAAGAGTTTTAAACGGCTTTCTGCAATCAAGTGGGGGACAGCTTACGTCATCAGATTCCAGAAGCAAGTCTCGGTGATTATAAGCAAGGGAGCATGACCCACCAATAAAACGGGACACCAAAGCCTGAGAACAGGTTAATAGGGTAATCAGCGCGAAAAGCTGGTTAATGAAATAGGCAGTAACAATCAGTGCAAAAAAAGCAAGACAAGTGAGAACACGTAAACAAACTACACAAAATAAACACATCACATCAAGATCGAACAAATCTTAAGCCAAAATAAAATGTTAAAAAACACGCACATAAACAAACTGTGAAATGGTTAAATTAAAATTAAAATTTAAAATTTAATTTTAAGTAAGTTTCTTTAAAACGTAGGCTCCCGGCTTAGCGGTGAGTCCTGGCGTACACGGAGGAGCAGGCAGTGTCGGCATGCGGGCAGTGCCGCCTGGTGTGCGCCATGGCCCCAGTAGCCAAGCACAGCGGGCACACGTACTCCCGTAAGTACGGACAGCTCACGCTGCCCGCTCGGTCCCTGAGCCAGTGCGAACGAAAGACGAGCTCTGACTCCCCATTTTTCCTACAAAAACTGCAGAAGGGGCGTCTCGACCCTTGGGATTCTTTTTTTCGGGACTGCTGGGGTCCAGCCGCGGGTTCGCTGGAGGCTCTTCTCACCCCGCCATCCGCCGTGTCGTCCGCACAATATCGCTCCGTTGAAAGAAGAAGTCGTCGGCCAGATTCTAGCTGAATTCCTACCCGATCTCCATCTTCGGGCGCGACACTCCCGGATTGTATGGCCAGGACCGTATCCGCCAGCCGCATGTAGTCTCTCCAGGGATGGAAATCACTCCTTAACTCCATCCGTCCGCTAACCGCAGACACCTTTAGAGCACAGCAAATAATATATCCTGCTGATGCCGGCGCAAACCAAACTTTGCGGACTGACCTGCAAACTGATAAGAACATATTAAGTTAGAGCAAAGAAAAAAAGAGTTTACAAGCATCTATTAAAATACCAAACATAACTTAATCACATTTTCTTAAGAACGGGTTAGAATCATTCTAGAATGATTTACAAACCCGTCCCGGGTCTAATTTAATCCCCGAACTATAAGTAGGAAGCCATGCTATCTTCTTAGCGTTATTCCCGATACATACAGGCCTACATTTTCCAAACAAACTTATTTGGCTATTGAAGCATTTGGTTTGCAGTTCGCCATGTTGTTGATGTTTTAAAGTTTGCACGCTGTCAACGAACGCAGCGGCAAATAACAAATCTTACCTCTCAAAATGGCGAAAGACACCGGCATACACCAAATGTATCCCGCGGTCCGACGCAAACTCCTGATATATGGCTGGCACTGTTGCCAACTCCTCAGCAAGGAAAGTCGCTATTGGTTGTCCCAAAAGTCGCTAGAAATCGCTAAATGACGCCATCGCCTAATTTTCATAATGTAATAATGCATGTATTGATAATGGACGCTGTTGGAGAGAGGAATAATGTCGTGGGAGAAACAAAAGGTGGTTAAAAAACACCCTAAATACGTTTAGAACTACAAATAAACTTTCTTCTGACGATTCTTGTTTTTTTATATCACAATTCCAACCCTTCTCCTATATCCAAGCTTAGGACCGGCAATAGTGACCCCAAAGACACTCTGGCAGAATTACTTATTCCTGAAAACTGTAATTTAACTGTTTACTTGGCGGAGTTCTTGGCAATAAGCCAGGGCAGGACCAGCCAGTGGTGGCTTCGCGCGTGCGCAATTCATTTGCAGTCTGGATGCGGAAGGGTGAACATCTCCTGCTCTGACTGCAGCTGGGCGGGGCTGCTGCGCAAGGACTGTCCACCTGTGAGCGCCTTGGGACGGGAGGGGAGCCCACGGCAGCACCCGCTGCTCGGTAAGAAGAGTAAGAACAATACGTGCTTCCTCGTCAGAGTCTCCAAAAGTCTCCAATAACACTAGAAAAAGTCGCTAGATTTGTCGCTAGTCGCTTTTTTGAAAACGAGTCGCCAGAGAAGTCTAAAAACTCGCTAAATATAGCGACAAACTCGCTAAGTTGGCAACACTGATGGCTGGTTCCAGTTTGCTTCGTACTGCGGACACACCACCACGCACACATCACTTGTGACGTAGTTTGGTGTTGCACCCCTTTTTATGTACATTTACACACACCCATTGTTGGAGCACGCCGTCTCCACCAGGTCCGTGGATGAGAAGAGATTCACAGCTGAAACGGGGAGAAGTTGCAAATCACCGGTTTATTGTCTGACAGATTGCAATCCGGGAGCGGCCGTCTGACATACATTCAGCATGTACAGGAGGAGGCTCTGCCATATGTATCAGCTGTATCCCTTTTAAAGCCCTTTGGGCCTCCCCCCCCCCTTTTTCGGTACCTTCCGTGTACGTGACAACCACATGTGTGATTCTAGCCGGCTCGTAATTGTCCTTCTGGAAGGCTAAAAGATAAGTAGGGGCCCCTGATATTCTCTGTCGCCCCCCCTATCTGTTCCGATTAGGTAGCCTTGCCTTGCCGGCGCGCCAGTCAGTTCTTGTTTTGATTAGTTACAGCCTTATAGAATCATTCCCTTTATTTTATTAATTATTCCCTCACCATACACACACTATTGTGTGTGTGTCTGTGAATGTACATACCTACGTGTGTGTGATTGTGCGTAAATGTATATAAAATGTATATTTTGGTAAATCAGGGTACTCTCTGCAATACATTCTTTAAGCATGAGTTTTGGTGTTTAAAAACAGTTATTAAGAAATTGATCGAAATTCATTTTTTTCTCTTTTTTAAGATAACGGATATCTAGGAGCATTTTCTAATTAGAGTTGAAAATAGCTATTTACTCTGCAGCCAACTGGCGACTTCTGGACACTGTGTGCCTCAGCATGCTTTGTCCCAGCTCTGTCATTTTACGTAGTCTACCACTTTGTGGCTGAGTTGCTGCTGTTCCCGATTGCTTTCACTTTATTATAATCAAGGGCGTAACTTTGGCTGGAACATTGGGGGGGTTGAGGTCTCCACCCATTACGGGGGAAACATGATTATTGGGGGGGTTGTATTAGTTGGTTTTGATTTATTGGGGGGGCTACAACCCCCCCATCCCCCCCATAATTTACGCCCATGATTATAATACTACTAACAGTTGACCATGGAACATTTAGTAGCGAGGAAATGTCACGAATGGACTTATTGTACGGGTGGCATCCTATCATGGTACCGCGCCCGCGTTCACTGAGCTCCTGAGAGCGACCCATTCTTTAAAATGTTTGTAGAAGCAGTCTGTATGCCTAGGTGCTTTATTTTATACACTTGTGGCTATGGAAGTAATTGGAACACCTGAATACTGGATCACTTTATGTCCCAGAAACCGAGATAAGACTGAGCAGCAGGCAATCATCATGGCAACGAAAACTCAGAACTAAACCTACTTAGCGTCTGGCTTCATGAAATTCAGGATTTAAAGTGCAGGGCTGCGGTGCGTAAGCAGAATTCAGCAGTTTCATTTCATGTGCACAATTCTTCAAGTGGCAGTCGACAAGAAGTTCTTCGGTTAGATGTCACATAATATAGGGCCAAAACGTCTGATAATGCCACCTCTAGGCAAAAGTATTTCATGCCTACAGACAAAAAATACACGCTTATAGACGGCAACAATTCACATGGTAATATTTCAGGCCTACAAACATTTTGTAATGCATTTTTACCTCTCCAGACAGCCAAGTAATATGAGCATAGATTCTATTTTACATTATGTGATGTGTGTTGATATATGAATCGGATATTTTTTTTGTACAGCATGCATCACACTAAATATATTACTGAGGGGGATAATTCCCCCCCCCCCCATCTTAACACTGGAGGGGACTTGTCCCCCTCTGATGCCTAGATGGAACTCGTGTTTCTATCACTACATTACAGCAGTATGTAAAGGCTATCATGTGAACAGGGAACCTTCAAACAGCATAAATGTGCAAGTAGAGTCAGAACACTTTATTCCAGTTCAAGTTTATTTCCCAATGTGTTGTAATGTGTATTAAGGCCTACCTGTGTCCACTGTCAAGATCACACAAATGATATTCAATGTCCAAGCAAAATGACCACCTTGCAGACCTCAGAAATGGCAAATTTCCTCAGTGTCATGAGTGCACATTACCATTTTTGTTATAGGAATCACTTCAGACAAGCAAAATGAATGAAATTAAGTTCACTGATGATGGTTTTTTTCAGTGAGCATTAAAATACTGTTACAATAAAATCTGTTTTCTCTTTCTGTTATTATTGTCAATCAACATTTTTGAGAAAATTTTAAAGCACATCCAGAAGGTACACCAGCAGTTGTCCCAGGGAGGGGCTTGATGGTGCTCTGTCCTCTCCTACAATCACCATTGTGCAATATTTTTAAACTGAATGCTCTAGAAATGTTTGTGATAATTCCAACATTTGCAGTCACCTGAATGGGATGAATTGCATGAATTAGGGTGGTGCTTGTATTCATCACCCGTAAAAACACCCCAAATCTTAATCAATCATGAAGTAAATTGGCCATGCTGTGCAATAGATTAAACTTAAAAAAACAACATTTTCAATTGACAATTTTTTTAAAGCTGTAAAACATTCTATACTTGCCCACATTCGCTGCAATAGGTTTTACTCTGCATTTAGTAAGGTTCACAAAGAATACACACTCTAATAACATTGGAAAAAATTAACTGATTTATCTAAGAAGGAACTAGAATCAAGACGCAATTTATAATATTTATATTGTAATGAACAAGATGGAACAGAACAAGATAATAGAACAAGGATAAAACAGAACTTCAACTAGTCAAAACAGAACACTCAATTCAATTATAAAAAGAAAGCAATGCATAAAAATATACAATATCATAAACAACAAAACAGGAACACAGAACATTTCTACTCCGTACACTACACTACAAACGAAATACAGCCAACTGCAGTTTATTTTATGCATGTCTTACAAACCACAACTGGTACAAATCATGAACAGATATAATGACTGCTTGAAATAATCCGTTGCATGTTCAAAATACAATGCATTTGTTGTGGGTCAGATGAGGGCTAATAATGTGGAACACTCTCTTTACTGTAAGTAATTTCCCTTTAATGAAGATCAACTGATAAACTCACAAATCTCTCTGAACTTGACACCAGCTATGTAAAATGACACGGAGTAAAACAGGCAAAAACTTGGATTTACAAACTAAAAATTAAATGCTTATTTTGATGAAATCCTACTGATATGTCATTTGCATAATAACTTGGAACACAGTGTATTCAATAAAAGATGAAATGGTTAATTCAGGGATACACGGTCATTGTGGTGTCTGTCTCTGCATTAGGGGGTGGTCACTGTGTTGTCCAGAACATGTTTACATGGGAGGCTCTCCATGTAGGATCCTGTAGAGCAGGGTTATTCAAATCATGGTCCTTGAGGTCCGAGCACTGCTGGTTATCCAGCCTTCCTTTACCTGTCAGTCAGGT